TACGTCTGCGAACAGCAGCCCATAAAAACCTGTAGCAATTAAGTGGTTAAATGAACTGCCTCCCTTGTCAATTTTAAGGGAGTGATTAATATTACATCGTCCCTTTACTAATTAGACTCTCCCTTGTCTTTCAGCTTTAAAGTCAAGCGAAAATGGAGGCTGTGTGCCCTACCAGGAAGCGTGGTGGGCGGAGGACACTTCCCTTGCCGTGGTTTTGAGTGTGGCCCCCATGGAAGGGCGGGTGAGCACCGTGGTTTTCCCTGGAAGGTTGGTGGGGAAATGGCTTTGCCTGGAGCTGGAAGGCACTCTGGATGCTGTTTCATCACAGGAATTGTTGGCTCCTATTTTTAAAAGGCTTGCAGGGTGTTATGCACGCAGCATGAAATCTACAAGCAAGGCTACTGTCTCCTGGCCATGATTCCTTGAGACAAGGGACAGATCGGTCGGTGAGGAAGGTGAGGTTGGAGGCGGCTGGCCACAGGGCAGGGTCAGAAGGGGTGGGAGGCGGGATGCACAGGCTCCGTGGAGGTTAACAGAGACAAGCGAATTATTGCAGAGGCTGCCGTCTGGACTGTGGGGCTGGGGAGCCCCCACCCTGGCTGCAAAGGGGAATCCATCAGCTGGAGAAATGGGGCAACTACTTGCAAGGGAAATAAAGAGTGGCGGAGATGGAGAATATTTATATGCCCATCTTCTCACTCAGAGAGAAGACGCTTCATCACAGGGGTCGGCTGCAAAATCACACTCTTCCCCGAAGCTTTTGTTTAGGCGGCGGGGGAGACAAGAAGTGCTTCAGTGGGACACAGCCCCAGGGTCACCGTGCCCACCCCTCCCCCGCAGAGCCAGGCCCAAGGCCGCCCAGCCCTGCGGGGAGGGGCCAGGCCAGGGCCAGAAGACCTCGCACTGCTGCCGCTGGCCAGCCGTCTGGTCGCCTCCCTGGCTGAGGGGAAACGGACCGAAACTCACTTTCTCACGCATTGGACTGATTACACAGCAAAGCCGCTGCTCTGAACTTCAGGTGGAGGTGGACGGCAGCGGGATACGGCTGCTGGAAGACGGGGCCAAGCGGGAAGGAGGCTGCCAGGAGTGACAGCATTCACGTGGCAATTTCTTTATTAACCTCCGCTTCACTCGTTTCCAACAACCCACACCACTGAGGGCATTTCTGAGTTGTGAGAGGTTTCACACTTCTAAAGAATTTTTTTCCCCAGCTCAGTGGTATAAATACATTGGTTTCCATCATGATCTTAAAACACGACTTTCCTTGGGGGTCTTCCATGTGACTTAACCCAAGTGCTGTATACCCCCTCAGTCCCCCACCACTGCCCACAGCTGCCCAGTGCCCCCACTGAGGTGGGGGGGGTGGGCTCCTCAGGCCTGAGCTCCCACTTGGGGAGGGGAAAGCCAGGGGACTTGCCCCAGGGTCAAACCTAGGTGGCAGATTTGGCACGCTACCCCAGGCATCCTGACTCCAAGTGTGTCCATTATACCACACTGCCTCCACTGTCTACACAGTCCACAGATGTCCTGCCAGCACTGCCAGCAAGCCTCATCCCGTCCTCCGTGGGCAGGGCCGAGCACCACGCTGTCCCCTTAGCACATCAGCTTCTGGGGAGCTGGGGGAGCACTGCCCACACACCACTGGGGTGACATCTCTCTCCATCTATTGCTCAGTGGGGGGCAATTCTGGGGTGTGGCAGACTGGGGTCCACTGCAGGTCCCTGCTACAGTGGGGGGCGCTGGAGCTGCTCTGGGGCTGGCTGCTGGTATGTTCTTAGGTGCCTAACCATCCAGCTCAAGGCTGACAGGGCAATGGGTCTGTTCATGGGGTAGACTGTCCCTGAGGCCAAGTGGAGGCGATGGGGCACAGTCTTAGATTCAGGCACATCCACCAGACAGGGTAGGGTAAGTAGAGTCGGCAAGCAATCACACCCCAGTTCTGGGCAGACGCCTGCAGGGGCAGGCACTTCTTACTGTACAGCTGGAACCACCCAAGCCCGTCTCCGCGGGAATCTGGGGCAGTACCACCTCCCCACGCAGAGTGTGAAGGGATAAGGGAGGGGAAGCCCTTGCCCAGCACAAAGCAGCCTGCACAGACGTGGGGCTCTCCCCGCCGCCCAGGAATGCCAGAAACCTGGGAAGTGTTCAGGGTGGGTGAGGAGATGCAGTGCGGGCCGTCTGCCCCTGAATCCCAAAGCGGTCTGCCGTTTTGTGGGGAGGGTGTTTGGCTTAACGGAGTAAAATATGACAAAATGCTAGTTTACAGTGAGCAAAGCAGACTCCTTGGCCGAGATCTCCCTGCCCACCAGCGACGGCAGCCAGATGGTCACGAGTGGAGAGGAGCAAAGTCATGTGCCCAAGGGCCACCCAGCTCTGAGGCCCCAAGGAACCCGAGAGCAGAGGCCTGGGCCTGTGGGCACAGCTCCTCCTGCAATGCTGAGTTCAGTGGCTAAAAGGAACAAGTTCGGGTTTATTCATGGAGAAAATCCTCTGACGTAGTTGCAGAAGCCCGTTCACCAAAGTGTATGGGTATCAACATACTAATCACCATTAAACACACTCGGATGGCTGGTGTAAGTAAGTTTACCTTCTGTACTAATATTTTTAAAATACTATGTAAATCTAGGAAAAAAAATTTCATCAATTACATTAAGTAGAAACATTCAGAATTCGTACCTATTTAATCTTCAGATTAAATGAAAAACTCCATGGCAGTTTGACTGGCAATATTAGTGATGGTTTTACACCCTATTTCATGCCTCTAATCTCTCTCCATTTCCCCACATTTTCTTTACCTCCACTTTAATATCCTCCAACAGAGAACACAGACCTGTGCTTTTAATCCATCACTACAAACAGAAATAAAACTAGGCTTGGTCAAACGGGACATCACCGCTCTGCTGCCAGCAGTGCGCCGGCTGCAGCTCAGCCCCCTTCCTGCGGGCGCAGTGGGCGGTCAAGAGCATCGCGGGCCGAGAGCAGCCACGGCCACAGCAGGTCTACGCCACTCACAAGACTCTCCCTCAGACCGAATGCTACAGGGCAAGTGGTCTTACTAGTGGTGTTATTCTCCTGATCTTACAGAAGAGGAAACTGAGGCTCAGAAAGGTTTCTGCTATTCAAGCTCCAGAGCCTGGCTGCCCCCAGCAGGCTCTGCTCAGAGTGCCTGACATCAAGACAGTACATTCTAACAAAACCCACTTTGGACCAGATTTTAGTCCTTAGACTGGGAGCTAAGGTTTATGGTGGTTTCACATGCATCAGGCTCTACACAGGAGTTCTTACCCACTTCACCCCTTCCTGGCAACTCAAAGGCACAGCTGGGGTCAGAACCCAGGTCAAGCAGCGTCCCACACCCCGTGGTCCCCACCAGCCCCTTGGAGGGCCACAGAGCCACAGACTACAATGGAGAGGACTTGGAGTGTGACACGCTGGGTCTCAATCTTGTTTTGGGCAAGATACTCCACCTCTGGGAGTGTCAATTTTCTGCCCCCAAAATGGGGAGGGATGATGCCCCATTCGGTCAGCTTGGGGTGGGAAGGGTGATGTAGCCCAGGGCTGAGTACACAGCAGCTGATTAAATAAAGCAGGCTAATGGTACAGCCCAGGAGGGCTGGTGGGCACAGGAAGTGCGACCTTCGGCCGGCTGTCCTCTTCTCCAGCACACGCGACCCCACAACACCCAACTGTGGCGATGGACACTTTTTACCCATGCTCACTTAGTATTCATGGAAACTCCACAGCAGGAGCTGCTGTATCCCAGCGTTAAACAGGGAGGGGGCATGACTTGCCCCCACTGGGCAGGGGAGCTGGGTCAGACGTCTGTCTGTAGGAGCCTGTCCATCCTGCACGGACACCTGCAGCCAGAGCAGGCCACCTGCAAAGGCCCTCTGCACTCTCTCTGAGCACCACCCGTGCAGGACCCCACACAAAGGTGGTTTGCGAGTGGGAGTAGGCAGCCCGTGGGACCACCCATGGCTACCTTGCTTTCGTGAAGGGCTGACGAGGAATTCTATCTACGTGCATATACATTTCTAATGCAGTGACCAGGCATTCTTTTTTCCTAACTTTACTCCCCAAAATTTATAGATGACAATCAGTTGGTTTTTATGATTTACTGAAAATCAAAGACAAAGGGGAACTTTTTTTTATCTTGCTTTTGCAATGACAGGTTTAGAAATTTGTTGTACTACATTGGTTCAATTTTCCTTGATTTCAGCCATCTTTCAATAATGCGACCTGCTTCTGCCAGCCGAGTACACGAGAGAAAACCCAGAGGAACTGAGAATATTGAAATGGTTCTACCATTTCCATCTTTGAGACAAATGTTCCTCTCAGAGGAGAGCTGGCTGCGAACATGTGACTGCTTAGCAACCTCCTCCACATGAAAGACGACACACAGGCTCTAACACTGTCCGAGGCAGACGGGAAACACCGGCAGACCCGACCTCCGGTTTGATTCCACTGCCTCGAGCCTCCTTCTTCAGAGTTGTGACACGTACTCCAATCTTGGATTTCTTTCTTTTTTATTAGGAAAACCTCCAAACTATCTTGAGCCAGGCTGCCAAATGGGGTCTGGCTTACCAAGCGTGATAGAAGGCACCCTGATCCTGCCTCTAAATCACGACAAGGCACAGACCTGTCCCCAAACCCCTACTGGTGGCAAATCATAAAGAACCATAAAGCACAGGGGAGTCAAGTTGACTGTGCTGATCCCCCAAAGTCCACCATCTTTAAACTGAGACTTTTTGTAAACGAAGCAGAGCTGACTGCTCCATCCGCCCCTTACAACCTTCTGACCTAGTGAAGACAAGGAGATGCCAGTCACATTTGACTTGAAGTAATAAAAGTGAGTTTCTTTTCCTAAGAAGTAAATTTGAGTGAAATGAATGTGTTCTCAGAGGGGCACCCCGCACTGAGGTCCTCCCTGTGTCTGGAACAGACCCCGAACAGGGACAAGGCCCAGGCCCACCTGCCCCCACTCTGGGCAGCTTGCTTACCTCTTTTTCAATTTCTGCCAGAGATTTGATGGTGATTCCTAAGAGGTCAAAGGGCTGCATCTGAAAATACAGACCAAGACATCCTTTTAAATGGTGGGAAGATGCTGCTCTGTCTGTTTTCATGCACCACAACTGTGACAGCTCTACCCACCCACCCTCTGTGGTCTAGTGTTTTCTGCACCCCTTTTCTACAGAAGCCCATTGGCGCCGCTCTATAGTGATGAGTGTGAGTGGCGGATGAGTGAGCGCATGCTTCTGGAAAACCTGGTCATCAAGGGGGTTGGTCCCTCTGATGAGGACCCCTGCTTCGCAGGCTGTGCACAGCACCCAGGAGGGTCCCAGCCCTCCTGGAAGACTGTCACTGGCAGCTTCTGCCTCTCTCCTCTCCCCACCCACGTGAAGAGCTGGTGTGCTCTTCCTGGGCTGTGGGGATGGAGGTGCACAAGCCTTGCTGAATGCCGCCCGGACTGCTGTGTCTGCGTGGCGGACGTGACTGAGGAATTACAGGAGGGCGGGCAGCCGATTCTGTGTCTGGGGCTGGAGGAAATGCCAGGTCTTTGAAAATGCAAGGTGAATGAAATAACTGCCCACTAATTATCATCTGAGAAATCTATTTTGGTGAAAAGATGATGACAGTGCATTTTAATGGGTGTTTCTATAATTTCATGAAGATGGAAACCTTTCTTTGAAAATTCTGGCTTTTCAACAGACAGTGAAAAACCAAATACACATGGTAACGAGAGTCAGTTGGGGCCCAGAGAAGCCTGGATGGAAATGCACGGTGAGAGGGTGGAGGGCGCCGTTTCTGAGGCCCCTAGTGGGGCTCCTTTCTGGGCACATCGGTGTTCTGCTTTCCCAAAAGGGGCACCGGCTCCTGAGTCCAAGGACCTGGATTCAAGGCTCCTTGCAGCACAGCCGGAGGTTAGATCATGCCATCCCTTCCTCTCCTCAAAGAGCTGAGTGGGTGGCCCTCCTGGCCAGGCTGCTGGGAGGACTAAATGGTAGAAGCATGCAGAAAGCGCCTGGCATGGGCTTGGCTGAGTTGGCGGCGTCCGGCAGCAGCAGGGCCGCGAGGGCGATCTTGGGCAGGGCTGCCGCTCCTGGCACCCAGCTCCTGTGGTCGCTCTGCCAGCAGCCGCAGAGTGGGGGCTCTCCTGCTGCCAGTCCAGGCGGCGTGGGAGTGGGGCCGCTTGCCCGCAATCCAGCAGAGGTCCAGCTGTGGTGCCATTAGGCTCTCACTGCCCCACTAAACTTTCCTGATTGGAGCTGGTGCTCAGGACAGAACAGCCTCTCCAAGGGAGCGGGCGGGAGAGGTGCCAGCATCTCCATGGCAACGCGGCAAGTGGAGTCGGCTGAAGTTACTCATGTTCCGCATGTCACGTCACAGGCATTTTTCAAGATTAAGCTGCTTACCAGAAGGGTTCAGAGGAGGCCTATTATATTTCATGAAAATGGAAACTACAGAGCAGGTCAAATCGCAAGCCAGGTGGTTTTAAGCTGGATCCAAGAAAAACACTGAAGGATTCTTTTGTTGGTGCCCAAACTGGGGCCTTCACAGTCACTTGCTACTCAAAGCAAACTTCTGCAGGAAGGATAAGAAAAAAGCCCCAGAAACAAAGCTACTGAGAAGGCATGGACCAGGCCTGCCCAGCCAACGGTGGGCACTACCATCCTGGAGGCAGGCACATCTGCGAGAGGGCCCCAGGAGGGCCAGCCCGGGCCTGCAGTCCCAGCCCCCCAGTGCAGTGTGAGGTGGGGCCTCTCATGGTCTGGGTTCTGCCCTTCACGCCCGGCCAGCCACCTAGTGCCTCTGTCACTGAGGGCCTGGCTCATGTGTCCCCTGGGGTCCGTGCAGGCCTGCAGTGAGCGGGAGGCCCACCCACGGCTTCAAGGCACGGTATTAGCAGGACCAGCCCCGCCACGCAGACAGAGGCCTCTGATCAGACTGGAGAATGTGGCTATCACAGAAGTCAGCAGTTACAATGGGGAAAGTGAGGCAGCCTTCCTTCTGCAGGGTGTTGTCATCGTTAAATAAAAAAGGACAAAAATGAATAAGCCTAACTTGGAAACCAAGATCATTCACAGCCACTGAAGTCCAGTCCAATTTGCTGTCACATTTGAAATGGTTGGCTGCGGCTGCATCTGAGCGGGTCTGCTGGTCTGTCTGGCTCCTGCCCCACCCTGACTCCTTCATTTATTTTGCTTCTCAAGCACCTATTACGTGGAGGGACCCAGGGGGACATGACCCACTTCCAGCTCTCAGGCAGGCTTCAGGGCTGAGCTTCCAGCCCTGAAACAACGGGCAGAGGTGAGGGGTTGCAGAGGAAAGGGGGAGCACGCACAAAACTTACACTTTCTGGAACACAAGAAAACTTCTCTGAAATCATAAAAGGCACACCATCCATTGCTGCAAAAGAAAAAAAGAGAGGAAATGGTGTTGTGGACACAATGGATGTTTGGTAACTTGAGATGTTGACAGACAGTATAAGCCAGTCGGTGGCTGAGCCACCAACATGCACACAGGTACTGTCCCTGCTCCTGGGACACACCTCCTGAGGGAGGCAGACGCCCCAGACATCCCCCGAACACCATGCAGGCCAGAGCTGGGAGAGCAGAGGGGGCTCCAGAGCCCAGCCTGGGGGACTGGCCTCCGCCCTGCAAGTGGTGGGAACCACGGAAGGGCTGATGGCAGGACGGAGGAGCACAGAGCTGCGAGGGGACCACACTGTGCCCAGCGAGGAGGTGGGCAGTGAGCATGTTCCTTAGACAGTCTCTCAGCTGAGACTGATACCGGACCTCTCGGCGGGCTCAGGGGGAGGCCTAGGTTGGAAGCAAGAGTGGTTCTGGAGTCAGGCTAGCTTTGGGAGAGCTTCTTACGCAGATGGCATGGCCTGCATTACAGGTGTGCATGTGAGCTGGAGGTGTGTGCGGCGCCTGCAGGTGCTCAGCGGGCAGGCCAGGGCTGCATGGCCACTGCAGTTACTCTCGGTCTCCTAGGCCCATGCTTCACAAACTGACGTGAGGCACGCAAGTCTGCTCGGTTTTAACAGACACAGGAGAAAGGGTGGGACTGGGTCCCCAGCAAATGAAAACACTGGGGTCTGTGGTTTAGTTCCTTTTCCACAGCTCTGCGGCCACCATGTCCTCGGGTCTGAGCACACGGAGGAGTGTGCACACGGAGAAAACCATGACCCAGGTTGCCTCCACTCGCATATTCTCTACCAAGATAAGCACGCTTTATGAATTGTAACCTTGGGGGTGCTGGAAACCTAGGTACATTGGAAGGACAGGTCACATGTGACAGAAGGTGATATGGGGACTCCCAGTGTGAAGATGTGGCAGCCAAGCGGGCTTCAGGGAGGGCGCGGGTTTCTCCACCAGGTGTGAGCAGAGGCCATCTGTGCCAGGGGCCTGGAGCCCAGCAGCTGGTATGGGGCCTCACCCTGCGGGTGGTGGTTTTCTGGTAAACTGTGGATCTAGGAAGAAATAGAGTGAGTGGAATAGAAGGCTTGGTGAGTGGGTTTCCCGGGAAGTGATAGTCTTTGCTTCTCCCAACATCTGAAATGGTGACTTTTTTGGTATACAAGGGGTGAACAACTTTTTTTCAGCCCTATGAGTTATTATAGAAACAGAAAGAAGAGAAGCAGGAGCAAAGGAAGTAAGAGAAAGAAAAGAAACCTGGGACAAATCCTTTTGGATCAGCAAGATGAGGCCAAATGGCTCACTTTAAGCTACATTCAAAGTCTATTTCAGGGAAGAAAAAAATGGAACCTCCTCTGGTAAGTTTGAGGAAAAAGAAATGGCGCAGCTGGCCCCCGTGGCTGCCCGGAAGCCTCCTCCTTTCTTTGGGAAGTTGCTGCCTGGAGCGTGGCCACTGGGCTCGGACAGAGACACCTGCGCTCAGAGGCCTTCTCCTTCATGGGGTCCCTGCAACCTGCTGTGACTGCCAGGAGGAGGGCCACCTAAGGGCTGGGGACCACGTGACACTCCCCCAATCAGGGAGGGGAAAAGCCCTGAGCGACCTTACACAGGACGTCGTCACACAGGTGAGCCAGTGAAATCTGTACACCTATGCATGCTCACTTAGAGCTAGGAAAAAGCCTGTGGGTGAGGGGACGATCCTTAAAAGGCCATGCCACCTGCTACAGATGGGCAGGAACAGGTCCCACCCAAGATCCTGCAGGTGGCCATGCTCCCTTCCCAGCAATTGCCACTGTCTACCCAATGCCACAGCTCACCCCCACATGGAACTCTTGGACCCCTTTCCCCTTCCCGATGCCAAGGAGACAGGCAGGGATGTAGCATTCATGGCATTTCTGACCATTCCACATCCTGGGGAGCTGAGGCTCGGAGATGCTGGAGCCTGCTGAGGTCACACAGGTAGCAGTGACTCCAGGTTTTCTGGCCCTTCCACTAGAGAACAATCTGCTGCTTCCACACCACAGCTGTTCAAGGTTTAGACAAACCATGTCACGCCATCCCTAAGTCTATGGTGGACCTTCTACAAGCTCTTTCTGATCAGAACTGCGTGCTGGAGGCAGGAGCACATGCAAACAGCCCAAAGTCAGAGCCGCTACAGCCTTTCCCCCACCCCGCTCTGCCCTTGACCTTCTGTCACTGTCGATGTGCCACCCCAAGCCAAGTGCTAGAAGCCACAGCCCACCTTACCTCTCCTTTAAATTCCCACAGCCCACTCTGACACTGCATGGCCATGTCACTCTGCCCTATACACATATCCGCACCCAGGCACCTTTCCCGGCGTCTCTCTGCCTGCCAGACAGATGGCAGGGCCCAGGCAGAGCTCCCTTTGACGGCCCCCCGGGCACTGCGCTCAGGAAGCGTGTTGGCCACGTGCCTGGTGAGTGTTTCCCAGAGAGCACATCCTGAGCGCTCATCAAGCTGAGAATCCCTGATCATTGCGCTCAGAGGCCTTCTCCTTCATGGGGTCCCTGCAACCTGCTGTGACTGCCAGGAGGAGGGCCACCTAAGGGCTGGGGACCACGTGACACTCCCCCAATCAGGGAGGGGAAAAGCCCTGAGCGACCTTACACAGGACGTCGTCACACAGGTGAGCCAGTGAAATCTGTACACCTATGCATGCTCACTTAGAGCTAGGAAAAAGCCTGTGGGTGAGGGGACGATCCTTAAAAGGCCATGCCACCTGCTACAGATGGGCAGGAACAGGTCCCACCCAAGATCCTGCAGGTGGCCATGCTCCCTTCCCAGCAATTGCCACTGTCTACCCAATGCCACAGCTCACCCCCACATGGAACTCTTGGACCCCTTTCCCCTTCCCGATGCCAAGGAGACAGGCAGGGATGTAGCATTCATGGCATTTCTGACCATTCCACATCCTGGGGAGCTGAGGCTCGGAGATGCTGGAGCCTGCTGAGGTCACACAGGTAGCAGTGACTCCAGGTTTTCTGGCCCTTCCACTAGAGAACAATCTGCTGCTTCCACACCACAGCTGTTCAAGGTTTAGACAAACCATGTCACGCCATCCCTAAGTCTATGGTGGACCTTCTACAAGCTCTTTCTGATCAGAACTGCGTGCTGGAGGCAGGAGCACATGCAAACAGCCCAAAGTCAGAGCCGCTACAGCCTTTCCCCCACCCCGCTCTGCCCTTGACCTTCTGTCACTGTCGATGTGCCACCCCAAGCCAAGTGCTAGAAGCCACAGCCCACCTTACCTCTCCTTTAAATTCCCACAGCCCACTCTGACACTGCATGGCCATGTCACTCTGCCCTATACACATATCCGCACCCAGGCACCTTTCCCGGTGTCTCTCTGCCTGCCAGACAGATGGCAGGGCCCAGGCAGAGCTCCCTTTGACGGCCCCCCGGGCACTGCGCTCAGGAAGCGTGTTGGCCACGTGCCTGGTGAGTGTTTCCCAGAGAGCACATCCTGAGCGCTCATCAAGCTGAGAATCCCTGATCATTCATTCAGTAGGCTTCTTGCCTTCGGTGTTTTGAAGACCTTACTGGGGTCAAGGGGTTTCTGATGATACAGGGAGGTGCACTTTCCTTCCCACTGGTGACTGATGTTTCTATCTAAATGCCAACGTATGTTTAGAGAATTTGTATTCTGAAAAGGTGATGACCTACCTGCAAAGGCCTGATTCCCCCTGGGAAATGAGAGGCCCGGGAAGCACTGGGGGCAGAAGCGAGGGAGGGAAGTGGTTGGCGGTCAGGCGTGCACCCCAAAAGGGAAGAGAACGGGAGGAGCCCCAAGGTGGGGCCCTCGTTGGCAGATAAGGGCCTGCACCCCTCACTGGCCTTCTTCACACACTGCCTCTCCCTTCACCCTTTATGTTCACATCCAGTTGTCCTGCTGGGGTCTGCTCAGAGCGCCCCACCTGCAGGGAGCCTTCCCCAAAGCCCATCCACCCCTCCCTGGAGACCTGGCCAGGGCCACGCTCCTCTCCTGGCAGTGCGTGTGAGTCACCTCCCCATCTCGTGGCCCCGCACAGGATGGGCCTGGAGGGACCCCATGGCTGTGCTGGAGTGGGCAGGGGGCAGCTCCCCCAGGGACATCTGTGTGTTGGGGGGGGCTCGGCCTGGGCCACGCGCCTGACCCCCCTAAATGTTAGGTGTGCGGCTGACTGACACCCACCCTGCTGACAGGCGGGGACGAAAGCCATGGGCTTCCAGAAGTCTGAGAATCACCTCTAGGAGCTGGGAAGATCTGAGCAGGGAGGAGTGTTCTAGTTCTTAAAAATTTTTTAATAAGTTAATGAAGTGAAACACATATGAAATTGTTAGAGTGAACAATTCAGTGGCATCCGGTATACTCACAATGGTGAGCGACCAGCGCCTCGATCAAGTTCCAAAACATCCCCCTCACCCCTCACCCTGCCCATTACAGGTTCCCTCTGCCCACCCCAGGAGTGTGTTTTTATGTCTCCTTCCAACAGATGGATGTGTCTTTGGAAAGAATGATCTAGAAATATAAGACTGGCTTTCTGAGCCACCCTGGAATGTGGCGCCCCTGCCTGCGCAGTGCCAACAGGAGGGGGAAGGGCAGCTTTGCTTGGACTGGCTGCTCAGACTTGGAGGACATACATAAAAATAAAAATGGAGAAGAAAAAGAACAAGACCCAGAAAAAGGGAACTTGTAAAACTTGGATACTAACAATAAGAGCATTTTTTATGTGCAAGTGTATATGTATTTTACATACTATAAAGTAAGCTTTCACGTAGATATATAAGTGTCTATCTTATGTACTGAGTGATACACAGATAATATTTTTACACTGTATGTGCATATATGTGCACACACATACAGAGCATTTTTACAAGGCCCTCTTCCAGCCCCTAAGAGCAGCTGAAGGAAATGATAAAGAGCTCACTGCGGGGTTTCTGGACCAGCCTGAAGGAGGCTTCACTGGGGTGCTTACTGTTCAGCTT